GTATATTTATTATTATAGATCTAATAAAAGATATAGATCTAATACTAAACTAGATATTAACTTAATCTTTAGTGGTTTTATTAAGTTTAATACTATTATTAGTTTACTAGAGAGCTTGAAATTAGTTAGAACTAGTAATTAAGTATCTAGAGACTCTAGTATTAATTATAATTTTATAAAAGTAGTAAGTATTATATCTTAATATACTATTAATTATAAAAGTCTAGGTATTTTCTATTAAGAGTTTAATAGATTTTAAGGTATAGTTTTTGCCTATTATCTAATATATAAGGAAAAAAGAAGTAAGGTTATTTATAAGAATATTAGCTATAATTATTAGTAAAGTAGGAATAATAGAAATAGCTAAAAAGCTTTTAACTAAAGTAAAATAGAAATTTGGGTAGTATTTCTTTTCTTTATTTGTTTTTGCTAATAAAGCCTTAAAAGTATTATTTACTAGTTTATTCTTATTATTCTTATTACTTTCTTTATCTTTAGCTTTAGTAATATACTATATATAAATATTACTAAAGTATTTATTAAAATTGCAGGTATTTTGGGATCTAAATTAATAAATATTTCTATTTCTAAATCAAGCCTTTTTAGTCTCTTATTTTTCTAGTATATATTTCTATAATTAGTATTTGGGTTTCTTATATATAAAATATAACTTCGGGATATAATTATTATAATTACGGGGCTTAAAGTAGTTATTACGGGTTCTAAAGTTATAGCTAGGTCCGTATTAATAATTTCTGGAAAAATAATAGCTTAAAGAGTTCTAAGAATAGTATTATTAATTAGTAAAAAAGGTTTCGGGATTAGCTTATTATTTGCTCTTATATATAGTAATAGATAACTAGAGCTTATTAATAAGCTAGCCGAGATTTATAAGAGAATCTAAGATTATATATTTATATATCCGGAAGCCTTAATAAGAGATAATAATTTTATTATAAAGGAATTTAGTATTTTATAAGTTAAGTATAAGACTATATTATAATTAATATAGTTTATTAATTAGTAATTAAATAGTCTTAAATATTATCTTTTCCGGAAATTTAGCTATTATAAAAGCTAATATAGTAGTATTTTACTTATCTAAATTTTAATATTTAAATCCAGAGCCTTTAAAAAAGCTATAAATATTAATATAAGCCTCTTTATATATATATTAAAAAAGCTAGTTATTATAAAAATAGTCTTAAGCTAGTTTCTTTAGTATAATAGGAAAAGCTCGTATTAGTATCTCTTATAAAAGCTTTATATATTAGTAAATATTAAGGAAAATAGTAAGTTTATAATTAAAATTATTATTAGATTTATTATATTTTTATTCTTTAGTATAGATCTTAGTAATTTCTCTAATAAGTCTTATAATTAAAGAAAATTAGGGGTTATTTAAATATAATTATAATAATAATAATAATAAGATTAGTAAGAATATATTATTTATTTCTAAAGCTTCTATACTAGTATATAAATCTAGTAAAGATATAGAATATAGTAATAAAGAAAATAATAATATAGAAATATTAAAAATAATAGGTTCTAGATACTTATTCTTTATAAGAATAATAAAGCCTAATAGGATTAGTTTCTTAATAAGGTCTGGTTTAATTACTAATATATTCTTATTTAATTATATATATATATATATTTTTTTTTAATAATAATATATAAAGTATTTATAATAGTATTAGTATTACTATACTAAAGAGTCTTATATAAATATAGTATTTCCGGGAGTTTAAATTTATTAAAGTTCTCTTAATAAATAAAATTCTTAAAGTTATATCTAAATAGCTCTTAAAGATTATTATTAACTATTTTATAAAGAATATATTAAAATAGCTTAGTATTTAAGAACTTAGTTATTTTATTTACTTTAATAAGTTTAGATTAATTTTATATCTTTACTTTCTTACTAATTTCTTATAATTATTATTATATATAAAGTAATCAGATTAGATAGATCTAATAAAGAAATCGTTTATTATAGTATATTTTATTATTATATATTTTATAGACTTATATCTAGTTTAAGGTATAATAGTTTATAAGAAAAGTAGATTTATAAAGAGAAAAATAGTTTATAAAATAAGTAATTTATAAAAGATATTATATTCGAGATAAAAATTTCGTTTATAATAAGAAATTTAGGAAGTAAAATTTAAGAAGTAAAATATTAAGATTCCGGAAGAACTTAATAGTTCTAAAGCTTAAGAGCCCCAGGGATTTAAAAGAAGGTAGTTTTTAAAAGAGTTTTATAGGAGTTAAATAAGAATAAAGTAAGATAGCTAAAATAGCTAATTATTTTAGTACTTAGTAAGATTAAGTATTCTTCTTACCTATATAACCAAATTATAGGTAATAGGACTAATAGATATTTTCTTCTTTAATATAGTATAATTAGACCTTAGTAAGATTAAGTATTTTTCCTGCTTATATAACTAAATTATAGGTAATAGAATTAATAATTATTTTCTCTTTAACTAGAATAATAGCTTTGCCCCTAAATAACTAAATCTTAGGTAAGTATAGCTTAATTCTTCCTGATTTATATATATAAATAGACCTTATTCTAATCTAAATATAAACTAATTAATATTAGTTTACTAGTAATATATAATATTATTATATAGATATAAAAGTACTATTTATATAAGATTAGTAAAGTTATTATTTAGAAGTAGGAATTATAATATTATAGTATTAATATATAATCCCTAAATTTACTAAGCCTAAAAGGGTCTAATTTACTAGTCGAGTTATTAATAAGATACGAGATTATATAACTATATCCCGTATCTTATATCTTATTACCTATATCCCATTACTTATATTTCATATTTCGTAATTATATATGTAATTCTTAAAGAAATAGCTATACTAATAAATAGATTTATAAGTTATTTAATATTATTTAAAGTTAGTAAAAGATAAAGCAAATATATATTTTAAATTAAAAATATCTTGAATTTATAAGCCAGAATTAATTTAATAATAATATAAGAAGAGATAAAACTAATATAAGCTTTATTTATAATAATTAGAAGCTTAGAAAAAGAGCTCTAAAAAGGTATTAAAGAAAAGTAATATAGTAAAAGGCTTTAATATTAGTAAAAAGGCAAGTATTATATAAGTATTTCCTGAAATTTAGTAATTTAGGAAAATAATATATACTAAGCCTATTTAAATTAGAAATTAATACAGCTTTTTAAAACCTATATATTAAATAATTTTTACTATTTTAAAGCTTTCTAATTAGATAAAACAAGTAAAATATAATATTTATATCTTTTTAAGAATTATATTATAATAAAAATTACTAATTTAGGGCTAGTATAATTACTTTACTTAATTAGAATTTATATACTTATATTCTAAAGCTTTATATTTTACTTAAGCTCTTTTCTAATTAGTTCTTAATAAACTCTTTTATTATTAATATAACTTCTTACTTTATAATCTTTATATATATTAGTATATTATTTTTATAATTCTTAATTATTTCTTTAATTATTTAGAACTTTTCTTTTAATAAGATAATAGACTAAAATATAAAATAAAAATAATACTAGTACTTATAACTTCTTTAGAAGTCAAGCTAATTTTCTAGTTACTTTTCTTTTTAGATCTTTTACTAATTAAGAATATTTAAAACTATTTAAAAGATATTTTATAAGAAATAAATCCTGAGATATATTATAATTTAAGGAAGCTAAAAGAAGCTGTTTTAAGAGCCTGGAATACAATTATAATTATAGAAATTAGAATAAGAATAAGAATAATATACTAGTATTATTTAGATATAATTATAGCTAATAAAATAGAAATAAAGTAATAAAATATTCTAAATGCCTTTAATTTTATAATTTGCTATTATGAAGTAATTTTTAAAGTAATATAGTAGTAATAAATTTATATTTATAATTCTTATATAGAAGTATATAATTAAGTAATTACTTATATAATTCTTTAATAATTAGGATATAGGAAGAATATAAGCCGGTGCTTAGCGTGTCTATTACCTGACTGTCTGTTATAGTTACTATTGCTTAGTTCCCGTTTTTAAGCGAATCGCACCAAAAGTTAATGGGAATACTAACTTATTTTGGCCCGATTTTGGTAGGCAACTATATAAAATAATTAGAGAATAGAGTATTTCGAACAATTCTAATTAATCTACCTCTTCGGAATTAAATTTAATAGTAATATGTTAAAGTTTAGTAAGGGTAAAGTGAGGGGTCGCGAGATTAAGCGAAAATTAGGCGTAAAAGCACAATTTAACCCTCTTTCTCAAGTTTGCTCCTTAATTAGTCTATAAATACAACTTATAAATAATATATAAAGAGACAAAAATACAAGGAATGTTCGAATTAATAAGATCCTAATTAGGCGTTATGTTCTATTAATGTCTTTACCGTAAAACTCGGAAGTGAATTTAGGTGACTTTTGGTGCAATTCGTGTAAAAAACGGGAACTAAGCGACTAGTACTGTACCTGACATGATATTTTAATAGAGAGCACGTGAATTTCGACAAAATCACTGCCGTTACAAGGCACTTCCTTAATAGAGCTGCCTAGCTAACCCCCACTGGACGTCTCGCCACTTTACAGTTTCTCGAAAAAGCTTTTTACCTTATTTGCTTTAACGAATATTTACAAGGAATATTTAGTGTCGAAGGTTAAACTTCTTGCCAATATCTTACTTTGGAGACACGAGGCCCTCAGAACACTGCCGACTTTAATAGAATCACGCGACGTAGGTGCTCAAGCGGATAAATTCCACTCTACCATAACCGAAGGAGTTACCTTATTCGGAGCCTGGGCACGGTTAGAAATAATGTTCGCGACTAAATCAATAATTTTAATAGATAGTGCCGTGTCCATCACCAGTGCATCCTGTCACTCCATTTCCCCGTCGTCCGTCCATGAACCCGAAAATAAAACAACTCCATATCTTCCTTCCTGCTATGAGGAGAATCACTTTTATATCACCAGTGTGTCCCATCACTCCATTTCCCAGTCGTCCGTCCATGCCACAACGTTACTCCAAAATCAAACAACTCCATATCATCCCTGTCCGTAAACTCTCTTTGCCCTATCATGTCCACCATCTCAGATTCCCACTTCTTGCGCTCGTCTTTCGCCTGTCCGCACAAGCGCGAAGCCTCTGATGGTCTCCCTTGCGCGCGGAGCACAACCGCAAGTCTGAATCTTGTCCTCGCCAGGTCTTCCTCCCGCCATTGGAGCGTGATGCAACTTAGCTCCAGAATTTGCCTTAGGTTATGTCTAAGAAGCAATGTACGGTAAGGACGTGGTTGAGACATTACTGGTTGTGGAATGATAGGACTTACTCGGCGCTTTCAAGGTCATTTGAGTTCTGATAGCAGACTGCTACTTGGTATTGGCTTGCGAGACTGTCGTGGTGAGCTGGCCCTCGTAGATGGATGCGCGCTTCGTGCACTTTCTTGTGCAGCTGTAATGCCTCCGCAATACCACCAATAGTGAAAGCTGCCATCGCTGCGGAAAACATAGCCGCGAGTGTGAGAGGATTTTCGAGGCCCACCGAGTCGGAAGCCAGTTTTAAGGACCGCTGTGTCAATTCTTGCGCCTTGGTTTTGTTCTGTGTGGGTGCGACTACCCACAACTGGCAAGCGTATAGTTGTGCCGTTCGAGCTGGGAGAGCCTTTTCACCACCGGCTTGTTCGTACCATTCTAATGCCTTGTCGAACAACTCACCAGCTTCTTCCAATAGCTCCATTTGTGAATGAGCGCAGCCTTTGTCAACAAAAACCCGGCCGAACTTGATGACGTCTGTTTCGGTGTATTGATCCCTGGGAAGTCCATCAACCTGTGCGCTTCGCAACTCTAGCTCTCTGGCAGTCAATTTTAGTGCATTTCTCCTGCCTGCAATTCCCATGAACTGATTATAAACTTGAAGGTTACTTAAGCAGCCATCGAGCACGTTTCCGGCTGCAAGAGGCTCCGTTTCGAGGAGCGAGTTGCAGGTAGCCACCGCGGTCTCTAGTAGCGATACAGCATCCGGTTGGTAACCGTTATTCATGAGATAAGATCCAGCATCACGGAGAATGGTTGTAAACTCGAGATTGTCGCTTATCTTGGGGTTTGACTGGGCGAAAGCCTCCTCGAGGCTGATGACTTGCGGCAGATACTTTTCGTATATTGCCCACTTGCTTGGGTCTCCTCTTTTTGCTGGGTCCAGACGGGGGAATGGGTTTCGCACTATTTTAACGACTTCGGTGAAGACGAGTTGTCGGGTATCGATGTCTCTGTCGAGTTTGTGCAAGATGCTGCGCTGCAATGCACGATGGGTTCTAAGACTTAGTCCAATGGGAGTTTCGTCTCGCTCAATCAGATGTCTCTCTCGAAGTATCCTCACCGCCTCATTGAACCTAAAAAGGGGGTAAGTCCCAAAACACGAGTGTGATTTTCTATCTCGAGTTGCTTACCGGTGTATATCCCAATGCTGTGGCGTGGAGTCATTGTCGTTTCCTATGAATAAGTCCTGTGGTATGCCGTCTGGATTGAGAAATGCAACTTGATACAAAAGTTCTTTAGAGTCGCTGGATAGCCTTAGCCACGCCAAATCCCATACCGTGGCCAAAGTATGCTGATATGCACTTGTAGATGCAACATTCTCGACAGTCCAGATTTGACTCGAGTGAAAACGGTCTTTTAGACTGTGAGAAATCTGATCGATCGAGCATTGAGACCTGGCTACATAGCCTGCAAAGTGAGAAATGGCCAATGGAAAACCTCCGAGGCTCGCGGAGAGACCTTCGGATGCTTCTTGCTCTGAGCCACCGCGCCGCAAATAACGTTGAATCAGTGTGCAACCCTCCTTGGGTGACATTGGTTGCAGGAGGATTTCGTTACCTGTCATTTGGATGAAATCCGGATTCTGGGAGGTGAGTATGATCGCTCCTCGAACACCACTCGGCCAGAATTTCCCTATCATAGAAGCATCCTCGGCATTGTCGAACACTAATAGCCACGGGTCGGCTATAGATTGTTAATTGATGTCCCAGACGCCTTCAACTTACTTACTTGTTGATTGAAGCCAATCTAAACCCGCGCGAACCTTTTGATCAACATTAGCCACTTCTTGACCAAGACCAAGAGTCTTGACCAAAGCCAGGAGCGATTCCAACAGGGTGGCATTTGCCTGCGCATGGAGCCAGAATATATGGGAATAGCAACTTCGGTATTTATAAGTATACTCCAGTGCAGTTTCCGTTTTACCCATCCCCCCAATTCCATGAATAACGCATGCCCTGCGGGATCCTTGATCAACATCTGACTCTTCAAAAGGCGGCTGTAGTAGCGAGTGGAGTTGTGACAGAACGTCTTCTCTTCCTGTAAACATCACGTTACGAGCGGCGTTTACGGTTGATATGGGGTCATGGTGAGTTGTTGTGGGAGATAACGAGCCGAATCTCATGACAACCTCACGATGTCTCGCAGCCTGCACCTGGACATTCGCTAAACGCACTTCATCCTCAAAGTTGGCCCGTGAAGCATCCAAACGCTCGCGTGTCTGGTCGAATTTTTTGCCTACTTCAGACCACTGGGAGTGGACGACAGCATCTGAAAATAGTCAGGAATTAGACCGAAAGAGTTTGCAATTGACTTACAGCATTTGTTCGACCGCAAAAATTTGATCACGGCAAATGAAAAGTCCATATAAACCTCGTAGACTTCTCGAAGGGCTCTGTGGAGATTCGGCGTGTGTAGAATCTCAACATATGCGTGGAACCTGGGGAGCGACCTGGATAGATCGCGGAGCATTCTACTTGTGTCCTCAAACTTACTAGCGAGCCTCATGACATTCTGTTACACTGTTAGAGACACGCTTGTATAGCAGGGCTAGGAAAAGTACCTGTAATACTATCTGAAGACTACCCCAGACGAGGCTAGCAACCATTGAAGATTGGACCATTGTTGAAATTGCTTGTGTGAATGGCTTCATAGAGTCAAGGATCGACTTGACAGTAGTAAGTCTCCTGGAGAACCCATTACTTTCGTAGTACTCCGTCAGAGCCTGCAGCGAGCTTTCATATGTGGATGTATTCGGAAACTCTTGATAGAACGGGTCCTCGCTGGTTTTGGAGTAGAAAAGCTTCTCCTGTACAATCAAATTCCAGAATTCTTCCTGTATATTCTGCCCCTCGTCTTTGAGGAGGTTGAACTTCTCAAGTTCTGAATTTTTCAAGGCAAACCTTTCTTCTGGGTCGGTGGTATCCAGAGCAGCGACATTTTCATCGCGATTTTGGAGGAAGCAGCAATATTCTGAAATCATGGCGGATGGATTCCAATAGCCTCGCTGTCGCTCAACTCGCAGCTTTGGCAAGAGGGGCAGCTCTCCATTTAAAGCTGAATGAAGCGAGGCTGGACGGCCCCAAGGCAGCCTTACAGGTGTACCAGCAGGCTTTTGTTCCATGACTGCGGCTGATCTGCGAAGTCTCGCAAGGCGGGAGAAGTGAAATGGGGACCCCTGGAGTGTTGGCTATTCTTCGCGAAGGCATCCGCACCGTGATTTGCTGTGGTGGTAAGACGTGGAGAGTGTGATGGTGACCCTAGGGTATTGACTGCTCCTCAAGAAGGGAGCCCCACCGTGATCTATGGTGGTTGATCTAATTTCGATCGACTCTCTTCGCTGTGTCCGTCCGTCCGCAATATCGCGGCGTTGGACGCGATTATCATGGAAAGAGGTGGGGGTGCCAGTGGCCGGGTGCAAAAGCAGCGTTCGGTGTGTGAGAAGTTATTAGTGAGGGGCTAGGATCGAGGTTGGAACCAAGTGGCGTTGCGTGCATGCTCCATTTACCCGACCAATCTCCTCTCGCTTTCATTCGCACGTGGCATACGCCCTCGTTTGGTGTTGGTCGGCGTTTTGCGCGGAGTTTTCAAGAAGTGAGGTGGAACGGTAACACACGATTGCGACATATTGATCGCATGTCCTAGAGAAGGTCTTTCTAGCTTGGTTGCACCTCGGGACAGCTCTATTGATATATGAGCATTGCCGACTTATTGGCGGACATTTGAACCATTACAAAACTTAAGTTGGACCTAAAAAATGCCCACAAAGACCACCGAAGACGTTGTTGCCCCAATAAGGTTCATAATATGGCAACAGCTGTACAACACAGAGAAACCGTTTCAAATTTTTATACAGCCCCCAAAAGATGCCAAAGATCAACGAACCAACAATCTAGTTTTCGTCGAACACGAGACAACGATCCGTGATATCAGGGGCAGTGAGGAAGACTTCAACCTGGACCATCATGGATTCCAATTCTGCAACAGCAAATCCAAGTTCGAGGATTTTGAGAACATGAAAGCTGTTGAACAAGAGTATTTGCCAGAGATTAAACGTCTCATAGAATCGGAAGTAAAAGGTGCCGATAGAGTTCATTTTTTTGACTGGCGGGTATGTATGGTCGCCAAAGTTTTGCAGAAAAGGGTGAATTTTTGACACAGAGCGTGTTTAGCTCAGACGCAGCTCTCCGATACCAGCAGGCACAGTGGTTGATTTATGTAAGCCTACTGACTGGCTACGACCATCTATCCATGCTCACGTTGGTAAGTATTTGGGAATCCACAATGAACCGTTTCCACAACTGATGCTCCAGATAATTCGCCCTCTGCCATCCTCAATCGTATCATGACAGAATTACCCGACGAGGCGGAACTTCTACTCCAAGGCAGACTTCAAGTCATCAAGTGAGGAACTTCTTAAGTCCACTTCCCACTCTTCTTGAAACTAACAATGCAAGTGTTTGGAAGCCACTTCATAATCCTGTAGAAGATTGGCCACTAGCAGTCGCGGACGGAAGTACCATCTCATTAGATGATCTGATTGATACTGATCACGTTCGGCGCTATTATGCCGGCTCCGTTTTGAATCTGATGCACCGCCCAGATTATAAATGGTACTATTTGAGTCAGCAGAATAAGGACGAAGTATTGTTTATCAAAAACTTTGACTCGGATGATTCGGTTAAGGCAAGGTGTGAGTTTCTGCCGTAGAGGCTTGCTGGTCTGTTGGTAGCTGACGAGGAATAGTCTCTCCACATGTTGCGTTCGAGAACCCTAACGCAGATCCAAGCGCACCTGAAAGGAAAAGTATCGAGATAAGGGCACTTGTATTCACACATCCTCAGGATGACTAATTGGCACTTCCGCAATTCACGGCCCAATTCGAATATCTTGAACGGCAACTATCTCCTACACAATATCCTTTCGTCTTAAGCTATGGCGCATCTTCAGTACTCTCGCTCAACTATATCAGCAGAAGCATTGCATCCTCACGTCCCAGCCTCACCACTATGCTGCACCTCATCATCTGCTCTCATCACTATAAGATCCTTCACGCCCTTTCTGGGATCAATCGTATTCCCAAACGTTTGTTTCCAAGGTTGAATGCGGCTTTCAGTCGCGACACTATGCCTCGTTGCTTCAATCCAACCTATACCCTTGCTATTACTTGATTGATCGTTCCGAACTGTGCTGGAGTTGGTATCAGGAGGTTTAGACTCGGTGGTTGTGTCTTGCGCCATTGTAATCGAATGTGGAGAGATTTGGGTGCTTGAGGAAGTCACACTAGAATATGATCAGCACGTACTTCAATAGAAAGAGGTGGTGCAATGATGCACATTGCGGAAGTTAGGGAAGCCGTTGCGTCAACCTGGAGGGTGCCTCAGCACGGGGTGCCTGGAGGTTGCTCTTGATCGACCCAAGAAATCTGATTCGTACGCTGCTTGTAGTTCAGAATGTCCAGACATTATTTCGCTCAACTGCTGCTCTCGTGCCTTCTCCTGCACAGGTGAAGCCAGAAGACAGTAATATAACCGTTGAACGACGGCGCAGGATATAAGGTTTCTTATGGACGTTTTCTTTTGTTGATGATGGACACGTGTTCGTGCGCGTAAGACGTGTTAGTTGCGCGTCCTCTCCAAAGTTTGCAAAGAAGAGGTACACTGCTTTACGTCGTTACCGGAGAGAGGTTGATGTCTGAGCTTGAGGCAGACTTGAAATGCACAGTGATTTGAGAAACTGCAAATAAACCCCACTTTTAAACGAGGCTCTTTCCGATGGTCAAGTGGTTTACTAGCCCTCCGGAATACGAACCAGATTTTCATGCGGCTTGAATGAGTGGGTGTAGAGTAATTGGTGTGGAAGAGTCGAATAAAGTGGCGAACGCGAGCCACGCGAATTCCTCCCTCCTCAACGAATAATGCTCCATTTGCGTCGACGGGAGGGTTGTGTGGGAGATGCAGCATATACTTGTTGAGCGCGATAGCTGGCTCGTCGTTTGGGTATTTCTCTTCTGCGGCGCCTTTGTTGGGCAAGGAAGTAGGCGTCGAGGGTATGGTTGATGGCCGAGAGTGCGCTTGTGGATGTTGATGTTAGGGATAAAGAGGTGGTTGTTGTGGTTCGTAGCCCGAGGGTGCAGAGGTGGCATGCAAGACAGGGAAAAGGTGGAGGAGAGATTGGAGGAGTGTAAGAGGGAGGGGCTGGAGGGAGGCAGAAAGGGAACCCCCTGAGCGTGATCCAGCTGGCTCATTAGCATGCTTGGGACTCAGGCCTTAGGTCAGGTTAGAGCAGCGACTACTTAGGTCCAAAGACGGAAATGAACTTTGGTGGGCTCACGTGTCGTCTGAGATTGTACTGGAAATTGTGAGGGATTCGGGGGCCCGCTAGGGGGGGCTGAGCTTTCGGCGTTGGCAGCGAATGGCAGCGCGGACAGGGGGCTTGGGAATCCAGTGCGGGCGAGTAGGCTACGGTAGTCCTAACGTGAGAATTGGAAACTGCACTAGAGTGGGAGGCTGAACTAGTGGAGACTTTGCACCGGGGAGCATATGATATGTAGGCAATGTGAGCAGACGGAGATGGGAAAATGTAAAACGACCCCCCCCCGGGTGTCGATTAGGGGTGTCGATAAACTTGTAATTTGCTACCTAAGCTCTTCAGAAATCTTAAGTTATATTTTTTAATATAAGTATAAGCTAGCATATTATGACCCCAGTATTATAATCCCGTGCTTCCTAACTTATAATAAAAAGATTCCTTAAAATAAAATTTTAATTTAAAGAAGTTTATAAACTAATTAATTGGGTTCTAGTTTTTAGACCCTATAAGGCCCTGTAAACCAGGTGCTTATAGGGCTCTTATATCAAGTTTTAGGGACTTATTCGCTAAATTTCTAGGCTTTCTCAAGCTTACCTTAGGGCTATAAAATATAAAACTTCTAACTTCTTTAATTTAAAGAACTATTACTAATTCAAAGTTTATAAAAAGTTTATATTTAAATTGTGCTTAATTAGTACTATAAGGAAATAAAACAAGTTTTATATTATATTAATTCCTTATAAAATTGAATTAAATTAAAGAAAACGCCAGAGTTTTGGTATTCCTATTCGAGTGTTTCTATTTTACGAGCCCAGTATTATAAGTCTGTATTTTTAGTAAAGTTTTCAGGTATTACAAAACTAAAGTTGCCCACTTCACTTTATAGTTTCATAATTACTACAAATTAAAACTTTATATAATTCAAGTATATATAATAAAAGAAGCTAGAATGAGTTTAGTAGACCTTTATAACTAATTCAAAATATAAAAGTAAAGCGTCTAAAATTGTTATAGGGTTCGTTTCTTAGCAAAATGCTCTAATAATACAGACTTGTAATACTAGGCTCGTTAGGTTAGTCCGGCCCCTAATTAATACCCGGAAAAAAAGGGGGTCGTTTTATATTTTCCTACGGAGATGAGCGTGAGTGAGGCCTGGGGGGAAGCCTGCCCGCGTGTTTATACAAATGGGCTGGCACCGGAAAACCACTGGTACAAGGAAATGGTTGGTACAAAAATTGAGTTCGCGCCAAAATATTATTAGTACAAACGCACAGTTCGTACCATGAAACCATTAATACTAAGAGGCTGGTAGTACAATCGGTTCTAATACATATTCGTTATATAACTTCAATTACTCCCAACTTTAAAATCATATAACTTTATAATTATTTAAATAATAAATATACTTGCTAAAAGCTATTTTTTTTAAATTAATTATATTAATTCAATATATAATTTAATTTATATTATATAAAATTATAAAAAAAATAATTAATAAATAATTCTTTAAATAATTCTATAAATACTTATATAATACTCTTAAAACTCTTATATAATATAATTTATATAAATATATTATAATATATATAGAGATATATATAACTTAAGAATATATAATAAACCTCGAATATTACAAGTATTAATTAAAGAGATTAATAGCCCTTTAATATTATAATTATATTACTATTTATATTATAGACTTTAGACTTATAAATTATTAAATATATATATATTATTAGAAGCTTCTATTTAAAAAAGGCTTCTCTAAACTTTATAAAAGAAATAGAAATTAGTTTTATATTAAATTTAATATTATAGTTTTATAATTTACTAATTTATTCTATTATTATCGGTTTACTAGTAATATATGGCACCGTTATATAGGCGTAAAAGTACTATTTGTATAAGGTTAGTAAAGTTATTATTCAGAAGTAAGGATTATAGTATCGTGGTATTAATATGTGATCCCTAAATCTGCTAAGCCTAAAGGGGTCTAGTCTACTGGTCGAGTCACTAATGGGACGCGAGGTCACATGACCATGTCCCGTATCCCATATCCTATTACCCATGTCCCATGTCCCATTGCCCATGTCCCATTACCCATGTCCCGTGTCCCGTGTCCCGTGACTACGCACGTGACTCCCAAAGGAATAGCTATACTAACACTGGAAACTCTCTAAAAAACGCGAAAAGCAGAAAACAGTACTTCCCTCCAATCGCATGCAAATTCCCTAATCCGGCCTAGTGCCAGATCTCCCAAACGCTCTGTGTATCCATGTCGCTTTTGAGGTTTTGGTCACATGCTAAAGGCCGCGGCCTTTTGCACGTGACTTCCCCTCCCATAATATCCTCCCATCCCATATGCCTATATTCCCTAATCCGGTCTAGTGCCAGATTCTCAGATGCCAGATGCCCAGATACCAGATACCCAGATACCAGATGCTAAGAGAATCTCTATATATATCCTCCTATTCATATATCTATTTCCTGCTCTATTCGTATTTAACCTATTTCTCTATATCTAATTATATGGTATTCGTATTAATAAGGCACTTAAAAGCACTTAATGGCTTCGATTTCGTTATAGAGTCGGCAGGATTCGATTCTCCCTTAATTTACTTGACTTCCGTAATCTCTTATTATTTATATAGCTGGCAAAGGCATATTACGTTAATTATTAGGCATTTCTCTCAAGTAGTACCTAATTTGACGAGGTATTTATATAATAACTTCAAATCCGTATAGATAACTAGTAGTAGTTTTATTTCTAGTACTCTATTAATTATAGATTTAATTAAAGCGCCTATATTAAAACCATAAGCCATATTATAGAATTCCGAAACTAGAATAATTCTAGTAACTCTCTTGTATTTAATAGAGAACTAGTAGATAATATTAGTATATCTAGTTCCATTTACTAGAACTAGAATATATCTGATTTAGAAGAAAAGATTTTTATTATTTATAAATAAAATATTCGTAAAAATAATTAAATATAAGAACTCTTTAACTAGCTTTATAAATCTTAGTTCTCTAGTAGTATTCTTAATTTGCTATTAAATATACTTATTAAGTATATTTATATTAGTTTCTAAAGATTTAATAGCTTAAGTAATAATTAATAGATTATATAAAGCTTCTAGTTAATAGACTAATATAATATATACTTCTTTAATATATTAGGTAATATATTAGTTCTTAATAGAGAGATTTTAATAAATAATACCCTTATTACTTATAGTAGTAGTATTTTTCGTGAAAATAATTCGGAGGTTTTTATACTAATATTTCTATATAAGAGTAATTCTAGTAATATTTATATAAATAATACTTTTATTAAATTTGAGATTATAATTAAAAGTAAGAGATTTATATTTCTTAGCCAAGAACTTAGTCTTATAAAGCTTTAGTTACTTTGCCTTTATAAAATTATTAGTTCTAATAAATAAGGTATTATTAGTTTAAAGGCTAATAATTTCAAAGAGTTACTTACTATAAAGAAAGCAAGAATTATAAGTTAACTATTTTATAAAAAGCTTATTAATATAATAGGAATAGTAAGTTTTAAACT